AAGACATGCTTGCCAGGTGGCTGTTGCATCTAAGTGGCTTTTTTGTGTTAATAAAGCTGCAGACTAGACATTGGTTGAATCTGTAGCCAACGCATTAATCTTGATTTATTGCTATTATTCAGCAAAAACTTGTACTTATTCCAGATGCCTTGCTTACAATCTAACTTTTCAGTTCCTTGCTTTCATGCAGAGTGATAGACTTGCATTTTACACATCAAACACATTTTTTTTTTAAAAAATAGGGATTTTAAAAAAGAATGTGCATTGCAACATGCATTTCATGCTAGAGTTTGGTTCAGTGTATTTTTGACTTTTCAAACATTTCAGTGAGTGATGCAAAGTTTTATTCTTGAAGACCCAAAACTGGAGAATTGCTTTTATGCCAGGCTGAAGGTTCTGCCTTAGCTTTTTGTCGGCATAGAAATCTTTCCCCTTCCTGCTTTTATTGCACCTTATATTCCTGAGGATGTGATATTTTTCTCCTGCTGTCTTAATATTTGTGGTGTCGGGGCACTATTCCATAGCATATTCAACCCACTCATGCAGTGGTGAGTGAGCTGCAACCGGTTTAACAACCAGTTCAGCTGCTCACTTCTAGGGCAGCTCCAGTCAGTAGAACAGCTGAGATGTGGAAATCAGCTGTGCTGTGCAACTCAGCTGAGCCGTGCAACTCAGCTGAGCCAGAAAGAAGGAAATATAGGACAGGATAGGGCGGGGCCTGCTGATGGTTGGAACTACCAGTTCACAAGAACTGGTCCACACCAGTGGCAGCCCATCACTGTACTCATGTCCACATCCCACTCAAAAACATGATCAATGGTGGGATTCAATTTTTTTTATTACCAATTCTGTGGGCGTGGCTTAGTGGGTGTGGCAGGGGAAGGATCTGTAAAATCTCCAGTCAGAGGTGGTATATTGCCGGTTCTCCAAGCTACTCAAAATTTCTGCTACCGGTTCTCCAGAACTGGTCAGAACCGGCTGAAGACCACCTCTGCATGATCCCTCTACCTTCCTGTAGGTCCTTGGATCAGTTTCATATTTTTGTTCCTCTTCACCAACCCAACTTCTACTTTCTGTAGTCACAATCTCAGTTGACCAGAAGGAAGAAAAGGGGGAATGAAAAGAGGACAAATAATACTTATAATTAAGATGATTAACAGATCCTGAAAAGGCACTTGCAGGACAAGAGGCCAAAAGTTTCAGAAAGAGAGAGAACAAGAAGTTGTTGGATCACCTTGGAAACCACGAAAAGCCAAGTATGGTCCAGGTATGAAGGCACTAGGCTAGAAACTAGGAGATTATGAGTTCTAGTGTTGCCTTAGGTGTGAAAGCCTGCTGGGTGATTTTCAGTTAATTGCAAGGAAACTGTGAGTTCTAGTCCTGTCTTAGGCATTAAAACTGGCTGGGTGACTTTTGGTTAATGGTAATGGAGAGTTCTAGTCCTTCCATAGATATGAAAGCCTGCTGGATGATTTTTAGCTAATCACAGGGAGACTGTGAGTTCTAGTCCCTCCTTAGCCATGAAAGCTGGCTGGGTGATCTTGGGCCAATTCCCCCCTCCCTCAGCCCAACCTATCTCACAGGATTGTTGTTGTGAGGAAAATAAGTGGAGGAAGTAGTATTAGATACGTTCACCATTTAGAGTCATTTATAAAAACAATAAAGGCAGGACGTAGATTAATTATTGAATAAATAATAAAATGTTGGTATCCAAGTTAGTTCTAACAGCTTTGTTTATGCCAGAGTTTTTCAGAGAATTGGTGGTTTTCTGTATTTCACTTCTCAAAAGGAGAAATCAACCTTTTATTTTGTTTTTCCCAGTCAAAAGGTACTCCTGATTTGGTTCAACAATTAACAGCTTTCTGCATCTCACTTTGGGACTAATTAGTCATGTTTATTTCAAAGTCACACGAGCAAGATTTTGGGGAGTGTCAGTGGATGGTCAGAGGAAAAAAATTCAATAAACAAAGGCCAGGTTTTAATAGATAGAAAAATAATCTTCAGGCTTTGACTACATTGGGATTTTTCTGTGATGGTATAGATCACAGTTCATCTCCCACCTCAGGAGAAAAATGGGTTGGAGTTGAGTTTTTTTAATTGTATTCAGGGCCATGCTGGATTACGTGGCTTCACAACAGAATAGCTGCTTTTGCCAGCCAGGCTGGTGGTCTTAAACAATAGAAAAATAGATGAGGGTATAGAAGAATAATACGGGTGATTTAGATTGATTTTAAGATGCCATTGAGGATGCACGTTTATGACTGTTTTATATAATATAAGGTGCTAATTCTCTTTATTTATGAGGTGCTAATTCTCTCTTATTTATGAATGTTTTATATAATATAAGCAGGAGGTGGGCTGCTGGGGGTTCATAGGGGTTTGGGGGAGCTACTAAGCTAAGATTCTGTGCAGTTCAGAGAACCCCCAAATCCCACTCCTGACTGGTCGCGCCCACCGTACCCCTCCCCTCCAAGGAATCCCACATGCTCATTTTGGATGCAGGTAAGCACAGAGGCTCGGGGAGGGTTAAAAACGGGCCTCCCAGAAGTTCGAGAAGGCTGAAAATAGCCCCATTTCCAGTTTCTAGAGAGCGTCCAGAGCCTAGGGAGGCTGTTTTGCCCACCTGGAGGCTCAACGAAAGCCTCCGGAGCCCAAGGAGGGCAAAAAAGCCCCACCCCCCGCTGTGGTGCAGGAGGCTGACTAGGCCCCACCCACCATGGCCACAACCACCCAGCAACTGGGCAGAGAACCCGTTGCTAAAAATTTTAAAGCCCACCCCTGAATATAAGGTGCTAATTCTCTTTTATTTGTTCTTTTACTTTATGTATGAGTTTTATTTTTTTTAAAAAAACAAATTTTATTGATTACAAAACCAAAATATCAAACAAACACAACACACAGAAGAAGAAAGAAAGGAAATAGAAAAAAAGAAAATGATTAAAAAACTAACAATTCTACTATCGACAGTCTATGGTTCCTTGTTTGTTATCAATATTGGTGATACATTTACGAATACATCTTATTGCGAATATATAATTATGATTTACATTTTACGTTATTTACTAATATATTTTCTATTTTTGTTCTATCCAGTCGTACCAGCATTCCCAGCTTCTATAATATTCTGATGTTTCTTTTTCCTTAAGTGCTAAGGTTAACTTGTCCATCTCTGCACAGGCTGTTATCTTCTGTATAACCATCTCCTCTGTTGGAATATCTGCTTGTTTCCAACACTGCGCAAAGGTTATTCTGGCTGCAGTAAGAATATGCAGTATTATATATTTGACATTTTTAGGAATTTGTCTATTAAATATCCCCAATAGGAAGAATTCTGGTTTTAACTCAATTTGCTCCACCATTATTTCCTCTAACCATTTTTTTTATTCTATGTCAGTATCTTTGGGCTTCAGTGCAGGACCACCACATATGAAAAATTTTCTCTGTTTCTTTTTACATTTCCAGCAATTCAAATTCATGTTAGGAGACATTTTAGCTATTCTCAAGGGTGAGAGATGCCATCTATAAAACATTTTATAGGCATTTTCTTTATATGCTGCTGATCTTGTAATTTTATTATTCCTTGCCCAAACCTTTTCCCATTCTAATAATGTAATGCTACATTATTATGTTTCTGCTCCAAGCTATCATGTTGCCTTTGACTACTTCTTCTTCTAATTCCGTCTCTAGTAAATAATTATAAAATTTAGTTATATTTTTTTAATCTGGACCTAATAAAATTTTATCTATTTGTTGTGCCTTAGTATAAATTTCAAAAATTTTCTTGTCCTGGCTATATCTATTTTGAATTTGCAAGTAAGCCCACCAGTCTACTTGTAGCCCCTGTTCTTGGAGATCTTGCCATGATTTTAAAGTTCCTTGCGCATCAAGAAGGTCTTTCTATTTTATCATGTTATTAAGATCTAGATTATTTGGTTGCATCATCGCCTCCATCGTTGAGATCCAAATTGGGATTTTTAAATAATGTGTTTTGGGTTTTTTTGTTCCACTTAGCCAATAAGGAATCTCTAATTATATGTCTGTGGAAATACTTCTGCTTAATTTTCCCAATGTCCCATAAAAATGCATGCCTCCCCTCTGTAAATCATGGCCTTCTAAAAATAAGATCCTTTTATTTGACAGATTTACCCACTCTTTCAACCAGAGTAAGGAGGCTACACTATAGTATAATTCCCAATTTGGGAGTGCCATACCTCCCCTGCTCTTCATATCTTGCATTGCCTTTAGGTTTATCCTCGGTTTTTTCCCTTGCCAGATAAATTTGGTAATTATCTTGTTAAGTTCCATGAAGTAATTTTTATGTATTTTATTGGTATTGTTTGGAATAAATAAATAAATTTGGGCAGAATATTCATTTTTATAGTGGCAATCCTCCCTAATAAGGAGATTTGGCCTGTTCAAAAAATATCTGTCTGGCTGTATTTAACTTTGAGACCATTCCTTCTTGTTCGATTAAATTTAATTTATGTTTAGTTATCATCATCTGTTTTTTCAATTTGCAATTCTTGTAAGCCACCTTGAGTTGCAATATGCGAATATGCTGCGGTACAAATTTCATAAATTAAAATAATAAAAGTTTTGAAAAGATTTTTTTCCAGTGTTTTTTTTTAAAGGTGCGTCTATGTTTGAATACAGGTAGGCCTCGAGTTACCAACATCAGTTTAGTGACCACTCAAAGTCAAAATGGCACTGAAAAATGTGACTTATGACTGTTTTTCACACTTACGGCCATTGAGCAACTCCTTGGTCACCTGGTAAAAATTCACCCACTTGGAAACTGGTTCATATTACGATGGTTTCAGTGTTCCTGGATTCACATGGTCCTCTTTTGCAACATTCTGATAAGTAAAGTCAAGGAGGAAGCGTGGCTGAATTGTGCCCATCCCCAATTTGTGGCTCTTAAGTTACTTTTACACGTGTTGTATTCTATTTTAATATTTTACTTCATTTTCCCCCCCTCATTTGGAAAAGTCTGGAAGAAGCGAGAACGAAACTGGTAGCCAGAGAATCAAACCTGTGTTTGAAGAAGATCCTCTGTTCGGTCGACAAACATCATACCAACATGCTGCTGTCCATATACCGACCGATATTTACGACGGCTGTAAGTATGAAGAGATTCATATCATCGTTAATGCTCTTTCAGATTTAACAAAATTTGATTTGAATAAAAATGTCTTTTAATTCAGCCATCTTCATGCTCTGTTGTAACCTGTTGTGGTTTGCCGGCTGAGGTCTTGGAGAGCAAGGACTCAGGTGAGGGGCCTGCATGTGATGCAGGGATGGGGCCAGGACCATCAGGGAGTGGAGTGCTGCCTTTGGAGATTGTGGAAGCTGGCAGCAGTGAGGAAGAGGCCCCCGAGGAGCTTGTGCCAAGTGCGCGTACACTCAGGGCTGCTCGAAGGAAAGAGCAGCTGCAGCAGCACAGGCAACTCGGGAGTAAGGCTGCCCCTCCCTCAAGAAATAAAAGCCAGCTGAGAAACTAGAGTTCTTTGCAGGAAACAAAGAAGTTTTCGCACTCAAGCCTTGTGGACATTCGGATTATCTTGGTTTGTGTTTGGAGACTCTTTGTGTTTGAAATGTTTCTTGGCAACTTTATCTAGTGTTCTTGGCAGCCTTGTACAGCCTTGGCAAGGCTCATCCTTATCAGAGACAATGAGTTTGAAACAGCCTTTTAACCAGGAAGGAACGGGATTCGTAAAGAATTATTAAAAGGTTTTGCTGTTACCTCCATTTCGTGCTTGTTTCCTTGGAACAAGGTTTGGGTCAGAACACAATCTTACAGTGAATTGAAGACCCTAACTAGTGTATTTATTTAAAAAAATACTCTTTCTGTTTCTCTAAATGTTATCCAGGCAGAAACATTAATGTCAAAAGCAGTAAGTGGAACAAAGCTTGAGTCCAATTTCTCTGGTAGAACATCAGATCCAGAGGATTATTCTGTGATTCTGAATTTATTAATTTAAAGGTGCATTGCAATTGCTGGATTAGAGTGGAATTTGCTGATAATTTAGGCTTTCAACGGGTTCTTAAGAGGAATTGATAATTTCTGAAGAGTTAATTTATATTCTGAAGGGAGGGGAAGAAAGTGAGATGATTCAAAGGCAAAACCTCCCTTGAAATATTTTAATTTAATCCTGACTTTTCGGGTTGACATATACCTTCATTAAGCCCGTAATGCCAAACTAATAAGTTAGTGGGGGAAACTTTGCCACATGAATATTCAATATAATTTTACCATATGGACAAATGAGCTGGATTAACGTGCTCTTCTAGACACAGTTTAAATAGGAAAGAAGGTGGATCGTGGAAAATGTCAGATTTATACATCATGTGCTGACTGGGGAGGCATTTAATCAGCATAAAGAAGCCATTTCTGGAATTTTTGGAACAGTGACTAGAAGATTGATCTGATCCGGTGGAGCGTTTAGAACCAATATTTCCGTATTTGTCAACATAAGTCATAAACGGAGAAAAATGTAAGCAACAATTACTCTATTTTTCCTTCCTGAAAGGCAAAGAAATATTAGTCTCTTTATTATAAATAAATAAATGTGGTGAATCACCCAGGGTCCTCTTTGGGTGATATGATGGCCATGTAAATTTGATTAATAAATAAATGAAATTCTATATAGTTTCTCAGTCATCCAAGTCACGGCTGTCCCAAAGGTGCTTTTTCAGGAGGCAACTGGACTTTCTTGTTTTTCCTTTGGAAGACGTTTCACTTCTCATCCAAGAAGCTTCCTCAGCTCTGACTGGATGGTGGGGAATGGAAGGATTTATACTCCTTGCAGACAGCTGGTCATTTGCATCCTTTTAGAGGGTCATTGAGGCCACCTGGAGGTTCATCTGTGTCCTCAGGGTCACCTCAGTGGTACAAATGGTTCCCGTAGTCTGCATTTTTTTTTCCTCTGGAAATGCACCCCTACTCCCACACCATTCCAAGGACCTTCATCCGGAATTGTGTAGCTAAACATTTGTAGAGATTCTCAGTCCTCCAGGCCATGGGTGTCCCAAGGGGCTTATTCAAGAGGCAACTGGACTTTCTTGTTTTTTTCCTTTTGAAGATGTTTCACTTCTCATCCAAGAAGCTTCTTCAGCTCAGACTAAATGATGGGGAATGGACCTGGATGACTGAGAATCTCCACAGATCTTTAGCTATACAATTTGGGATGACCATCCTTGGAATGGTATGGGAGTAAGAATGGATTTCCAGAAGAAAAAACAATTGCAGACTACAGGAACTCAGGTGACCCTGAGGACACAGATTAAACCCCCAAAAGCCTCAATGACCCACTAAAAGGGTGCAAATGACCAGCTGTCTGCAAGGAATGTAAATCCTTCCATTCCTCACCATTCAGTCAGAGCTGAAGAAGCTTCTTGGATGAGAAGCGAAATGTCTTCAAAAGAAAAGAAAACAAAACAAGAAAGTCCAGCTGCCTCCTGAAAAAAAGCATGTTTGGGAAAATAAATGAAATATTTAACAGGCAGAAGAAATGGCATATACGACTGTAATTGTCAGCATTTGGAAAAGGACAGGCCAAACCTGGATGTTTTGACCCAGGCTTCATAAACTGTAATTATTCACAAACTTGTTTAAAAAACCCAAAACCTATTTTATTGCAATGCTGGGAATTGTTTCCATTCCAACCAGAATTAATCTCAAACAGTCCCCTGAGATAAGCACCTACCTTTCAGTTCTGTGAAGTGCTGCCCAAAACAGAAGTATCCGATTAACTAGAAAAGAAACCAACCAAAGTTGAAGAAAAACCAACTGACGTACAAAAGAGCTTCAAAGATGACTCAGAACCTGTCAAACGACTTTGCTTCCTGCAAAACGTTCGTCATCTTGGCCTGACTTTTATCCCTTATGCGAGGGGCAATCAACTCCCAGCCTTACTCTCAAGTCACCCCTTTTGTTTCAGTTGTTCTCGCCTTCTAGCAGCTCTGCGCACACGCACACTGGGAACAGGCTCCCCTTGTTCCTCTGCCTCGCTGCTGCCAGACTCCAGAGGCTCTGGAGTCAGCACCCCACTCCTAGATGGCCCTGGCCCCATTTCTGCATCAGACACAGGACCCTCGTCTGAGTCCTCTCCAGACTCCTGGACTGATCCCCGTTCTTCCCCACTGTCCGATTCCACTGCCGTCTGTACTGGCTGCCCGCGAACCACAACACCAGAGTGGAGTCAAGAGAGGAATCAACCTGGAATCATTATGTTCTCGCAAATGGTCAAAGCCCAACCTCTCTTGAATTCTGTTAATTTTTATCTAACATCAATTTAATTCTGCCCGCTAGTTGACTAAATTCTCCTCTATAGGCATAAACAATTCATCAGTTAAACTGGAATTTAACCTCTGATCCTGATTTTTCACACTTGACAGATTACCACTACACCCAAACCCTAAATTATGGTTTAATCCAAAACGGAAGTCAGCGAATCATTCTTCCGTACAGCTTGGCCAAACTTTGTTCTATAAATGAAATCATTAACACCGTCAGAGTGGAATTCAATCATTCTTGACATTAGGAAGAAGGCTCGGATTGTTTTAGCTTGTGCGTTCCCCTTTCCTGTTTACAGCTGGTTTTTATTTGACACCTGAGCAATGGTTCTGATAAATTAAAGATGCACTGGATGTTTTTTTGCTCAATCAGATGGAGTTGGGGATTGGTCGAAACCCCTATTAGTGCTATGAATGCTCTTTAAAAACCATGTTGCTCATACCAAATATAATTAGTGTCTAATTTCCCAGAGGGGTAAGCTGAAATTGAGAAATGTCGCATCTGCGCAATCGTCTACGTTTGTCACTCCCTGGTTAAAACCCGGAATTGATGTGTATATGTGTGTGTGTGTGGGGGGGTGAGTGTCGATCCAGCCTCTGTCCTGTTTTAAAGGATATTGTCCACTAGTTCATCCCTTGGGACATTGTGTTGACAGTTGAACAATGGACTATAAAAGAATGGCAGGCCGGGACAATGTTCGGAATTAAACACGGTTCACGAATGTATGTAAAACGCATTCAGTCGCTTGCTCTGAATCTGAACATCAAGACAATGTTTTACACTCATCCTTTTTTTCCTCCTACCCTTCGTTTTATGACTTCCTGATGTGACAATGCTGCATTCTTCCATGTGTCTTGTAACAACCCTGGGACTGTTGTATTGTGTCACACACTTGGCAATTTGCAGTCGAAGGGAAATGAGGGATACTTTCTTCCACATCGAGTTTTAAATATATAATCAAGGGCAGAATGAATGGGTGGATCTCTTCCTCTCTCTTTTTTTCTTTTCTTTTCTGAAAATAGAGTCACTGCTTATTGTCTTCCTTGTCCAAGAATAATTTCAGCCTAGGTTTCAAAGGTTTAGAAGAGAGAGAGAGAGAAAAACAACAACAACAACAACAACAACAACAAAACCATACACATCTTAACTGCAGGTGATTTGTTAGGCTTGTGCACATTTTGAAAACCAGTGAATCTCTGCTGATTGTGAATGTAGTCCATTTGTTTCCCCACTTCTCTACAACCATCCATGGTGTTATGTGTGTGCATTTGTCATGTGCATTTGTGTGACTGCCCCCCAAACACTGTTTTGTGTGTTTGTCTGTGTGTGTGTGTGTGAGAGAGAGACACACACACACACACACACACACACACACACACACAGAGAGAGAGAGAGAGACAGAGACAGAGACAGAGACAGAGACAGAGACAGAGATATTTCAATGATGCATAGACATCACGCTGTTGGGTGCCATCTTGATTTTTTTTTCAACAACATTCCTCTCTCTTCCTCTCTCTGTCTCTGTCTGTCTGTCTGTCTGTCTGTCTGTCTGTCTCTCTCTGTGTGTGTGTGTGTGTGTGTGTGTGTGTATGTGTCTCTCTCTCTGTCTGTCTCTGTCTCTCTGTCTCTGTCTCTCTCTCTCTGTCTGTCTGTCTCTCTCTCTCTTTCTCTCACACATACACACAATCACAGATGCCCCCATATAGATGGTGTATTTCTTTGTCATACTCTGTATGTAGCTTTTCAATCCTTCTTTATCTTCTTTATCTTCTTTCTAAAGCTTATATGCAACCATTTGTTTCTCACCTTCTCTGAAAACAGTG